GACCTAATTTTAAATGGCGTTTCAGTGAATAGCGCTACGATGTCGCCGTTTAGCTTTTCTTACTCTTGGATATGTTGGCTTCATATCTGTATTTACATATTTGCAAAATTCTATTGCGTTTTTTCACAAACCTCGCGCAAACCACCGGTATACTCTAACTTTAACACCAAAAAACGTGCTTGAAATTTGTGATTTTCGGAAAGAAAAAAAAAACTTAATGCAAAAAATAGAAATACGGATTTAAACTTCATGACCTTTGCTTCAAAACAGTATAAAGTTTTTGATCGCATGAATGACTGTAGAGATGACAATTAAAGTTTTATTCACGTTAGTTAAATTATCAGCCCCGCTGATTTTCAGAATCACCTGACGCTAAAACAAACACAATGTTCACAAAATAGTCAAGAGCTTTCCAAACATATATAGATTGTATGGTTTCTTGTAAAATTTATTCCGATTATAGGTGTTTACATTTTTCATGCAAAAAAACTATCCTGCTACCTTAAGTATAAAACCCAACACCAAGCAAACAAATCACTTAGTCTTCTCGAAGTAAACTACATATCATAAAATATATGCATTACATTAATAAATGTGCATACAAAAGATGATTATTGGTGTTTAGAACTATTGCGTAAAGCATTTGATTATATGAATATACGGAAATTCACAGGATTCGTCCTCATTTCGCATTGCTTCATACCGTGGCAGTTTGAAATATAAACCATATTTCCTGCAATTCATACATATTTACGCTACTAAGTAGTTCAAATACAACAATAAACATAAGAAATATCAGTATATAATTTTGACCTCTCACAAAATAAACATATTTTTCCAGGATGTTTCAAAAATGTTTATCAAGACTTGTATGCCCAGTTGAGCCTATAACAAATCAATTCATCATCCATACAAATGTGGATAATGTTGCACCAACAATTTTAGAAATACAAAATCTTCAAAGTTTTGCATGCATGAAGAAAAGCACTGAAGCAGTTACATTTGTGTCAAATGTCATATGTATATTAACGAGAAACCACTCTGGAATATAAATTATAATGAATGTTAAGTTTTGTAAAGGAATAAGTTCACAATAATACTCCCGGGAGTAATATAAAGACTAGTGGAGTGATACACACACTCGTTAATCAATTTACTACCACTTATGTTACGTTCAACAAAATACTTTCCTCGGAATCAGTAGAAAGTTATAAAATATCTGAATATACTATTTTTTCTTGGTTATATTTACAATATAATGAAATATTCAATACACACTGGTGAACACACTAGTGTCAAAGCATTTTTCACGATATGCAAATGACGACTGAGGCGATTGAGTAACAAATGTCACGCATAAAAGCCATAATATTTGTGAAGTTCATTAATATTCACTATATTTCGATTTCAAACATAATTTAACTGGGCTTGGTTTGTACTGTTTTATTAATCAAATAGATTTTCAATTGTGATTTGAGAAAAGCTGGGGTAATCAAATTAGCTTCTAAATTCAATTTTTCTTTTCACCCAGGGAAATGTCGATGTGTTAGCTGCGTTGTTGCTAAATTGTTTCCTGTGATCTAATTTTGAATGAGTTAAAATACAATGAATATTTAATGTCTTCGCACGACTTCCAAATTTACTGTAACAAAGGCACTTTCTGGGTATCAGCAACATATGCATTGCTGTCAGTGCTGGAGTAAGACGGTGGAGGAGATGGGGACCCTACCACATTCCTAGCTCCAACATTATGCTGTGGTGGCTGTTGTTGTCGGAAGTCTTGTGCTTGTTGTTGAAACACTGGCTGGGGTTGAGTTTGTTGAGTAACCTGTACCTGTGGCATCATCATCATGGTGGGTTGTGGTTGCTGCTGGGGCGGATAATTATAGCCTGAAATTGGACAAATGAAAAACCATAGTTTAATGACTGTGTTCCGTTTACATTGTTTCTACAAACCGCGAATTAAGATTCATTGAACTCTTTACTATGCCTATACAGAAAAGAAAATATATATTCAATTCGCATTGCACAAAGAACATTTCAAATACTTCCAAACAAACGTTTTTTGTACATTTGCAATGTTGAAAGTGCTTTTATTGAAGGAGATATAATTATACCAGATGCTTTACGTAAATAGATAGTTTAATGTAACTTTTATAACCATACCTGCAGTGAAAACCCACACGATGAAACTTTCATAAATCAGATTCATCAAATATGCAAGAGCATAAGAAAATCAACAATCTGAACCAAACTTTAACCATTTATCTATAACATTCTACTGAATTAAAAACACATTTACCAGATGTGTGCTGGACTTGGACTTGCATTGTTGCAGGTGGCGGCGAATTAACCACTACTGTCTGCTGTGATGATATATAAATGAATTTTAATGATCAAAATGTATACAATTGCAGATGACCCTCATATTAATAGATAGTGGGACAATAAGACCCATATTCATGTAATTATATATATATTTAAGATAAATTTAATAAAAGATAATACAGAAGATGTTGAATGAATTGAAATGCAATGAAACACAAAATAAACGGCTACAAAGAGTACGCAACAAGACAATAGAGTTATATAGATATATATTATATTGCATTTAATTCACAATAGACCATCAAAGAACTCAAATAGATAGAAAAAAAGCTGATATACTAAAAGTGTTAATGAAATAGGGATTAACGTGGTGCTTTATCCACAGGAAATATATACCTAATGTGCGTGTTGGTTAAATTTCATAATTTTAATATATATGAAACACAATTGTTTTTTCAAGTGACGAACTTACTTGTACTCCGCGAATACAAACAGCACGACCACATACACATGCAGCGATGATTGCAATGATGGCGGCTCCAAACGATGCAATCAAATTGATACTATATGATGCAACACAGGTTGCCTACAGACAAAAGACATGGCGTGATATATTGTTAATAAAGTCATAATATTAATACTGAGTCTCTTTTTTTTCATCACAATACAAAACAATAGTTTCTGAGAATATATTTAATACAACATTATTACAGGTACCATTGTTTGTGAAAATAAATTCACACTAGTTACTGATGTACATAAACGATATATTCACTGCTACCATATTTGGCACGCTCTAAATCGTAAATTTATGCAATTTTTTACAATATACAAGGCCAGACCTACATTACATGCCATTTACAAGATTTTACAAGATTTGAAATACTTCGGCACACAATGCATGCTGTATTTGTGCATGTGTGCCTACAACTTGCACGCTGTGCATATGGAAAACCTTAAACATGTAAGCCAATATATTCTAATAATTTTTTTTTTTGTTTAAACATATCAATTCCATAGTAGACTTAATATGCCCATGGAAAATACAGCCACAAACTGGTGGTCATGACCTGATGACAACAATGAATAACACATTGCCTATACAAAGTTTATTAACAATATTTGTTTCGGTTTGGTACAAATAATTCTCAAAACCAACGTACAAACTGTACATACTAGTAATATATCAAGCCCAGGAAAACCATTCATAACTGTACTTACATAACGGTCATTATCACATAAATATGTAAATAATAGCAAAATATCAAAGTTGCATCTTTGCTGGGCACCAACACCAAAAGAATTTACGACCAATGCTCCGCCAGCCAATATAGCTACTATAATAGACATTACCATGTTACCGATGATCTACCGAGTATACAAACAAACATGAGGTTGAAATAATGGAATGGTTATTTTAAGGAAAATATTTAGTGTATTTTGTAGCATTTCAATTAATATTTAAATGTACCAGATATGCAGCTATATAATATAGTAATTCAGGCTAAGGCGTATAGGTAAAACATAATAACAAAGATTAAAAAATAAATTTAGCTAATTATTCCAGGAACCAATATATAGGTGCAAAACAAAGATCGTCCTTAGACTTAACTGTGAGTAGTAAATTCATATTTATTGTCCAAGGAAAAGTGAAGAAAAAATAATGAATAAAGAAAGGCATGCTACAAGCAAAATTCAGAGCAGGATTTTTTTAGAAATGTATATACTTTAGAGGTCCAGGATAAACAATAGTACAATTACTATTGACATGATGACAATATTATCTAACATTATTTGTTTCATTAACTATACTCTATTCGCTTCATTCACACATACACCAACAAATTACAAGCGAACATGTAAACATGACCCAGTGGAAGCACTGGCATTGACTCAAAATCAAAATAGTAATTTTGGACAGACAATGTTCGCACAAAAATTTGCAGAAAATATATGGCAAGAAAGTAGGGAAAATACGTAGGTGTCAACATACACACAATTGGATGAAGTAATAATAAACAATAAACATGGGCATAACAACCTACTTGGGACAAATCTCTTCACCACCACCATGAATGTATGATATAATGGCTCATTAAAATAAACCTTCGAATTAACCTGTTTTATGTAATTTACATGTATGTAAGTGTATATGCTACTGATATAGAAAATGTATACAATTTAGCTAAATAATAAGATATGATTAGTTCATAAAAGAAACATAGAAATTTAAGACGTTTAATAGGTACAACAATTACAATTAGCAAAATGTTATGATATGTGATAGCCCTGTGTATGGGGAATTTAGTCATGCAGAACACGTTCATATTTCCTGTAAATAATTATGTGTTTTAAATATTCATACATTGCATGGGACCCTTAACAAATATTATGTACAACTAAAAGCTTATTACTGTAAGTGTAATTTTTAACTCACTGTGCCTTTATTCTTCGTATAACCAGATAAACATCCCAATATTCCAGTCACTGTTACCTGAAAACAAATAATAGATTATTCAATTTGTATTTATGTAAAATTCTAATTATGGTAAAGTAAGAACATTTAAACTGACCATGAAGGCACCAGGAAAATGTATTTTATAATATTAGGGTGAAAATTGTAGCTACTGGCTATTGTATACGGGCGTGGGTGTTTTGCTTGTCGTGTGATTTATAAACTAGTTATTACAACTTACACATATTCCTGTCAAAAAACCCCATCTAGTAAATGCAATAACAGTGCACCCGGCCTTTAGAATCATAATAGTGAATATGATAGCCAATGAGCCCAATACAATTTGAGAGAT